AAGAACAAAACAACAGCAACTTCTCTGTTCCCCTTCCCCCAATTCCCCAGCACTGTTCCCATCCCCCCAATTCCCCAATAAAAAATCTTAAAAAAAAAAGAAGGGGGAGGGAATGCCTGAGTTGGTCTGGAGGACTCAGAAAGGCACACAGGGTAGAGGGCATCTGAGATGAGACTGCAAGGGGAAGTGGAAATTTGCCAGGTGGACAAATGCTGGGGGAATGTTCCAAGCAGAAGGAACAGCTTCCAGTCATTCATTTCAGTCAACAAATAGGTACTGAGCACCTGCTGGATGCCAGGGACCAGACAGAGCATCCAGGATACAGTGACTCCGCTGTTCTCACAAGGAACCGTATGCACTGCATTTCCTAGATCTTAAGGGACAATTGGTTATAAGATGCACCACCAATTTAACAACAGTTACAATCAGGAATGTACATTCAAGGAGAGATTTATTGGCATAGAACACTATTTCAGACAAGGCGGGGAGCAACTGTTCCCCAGGAAAACCTGAACCAGGGCTCCAAGGTCCAGCCCTCTCTCCCAGGTACTGCTCCCTCACACCCTCACTTCACCCTCTCAGACAACTTCTTCCTGAGCCCCAATGGCCACCAGCGATGCTCAGACTCCCGTCCTCCAAATTCCACCACCAGCTCTAATTCCAATTCTGATTTGCTCAGTTTCCATCCTAGGCCCATGGCCAATCACTGTGTCCACGGTCTGGATACTATTTTAGGGTGCACCACTAGACTCCCACAGTTTGAGCAGGGAGAGGAGTTTCCCTTGAAAAAGCAGTGGAGGTTGCCAGGCAGAAAACAACAGATGTCCACCGCATGCACTTTTGGAGAAAAAGACACTGCTACATTAAAAGAGCAAATCAATTGTTAGATATATCCCAATTTCAGAAATGTTAAAATATGGAGGGAAGTATGTGCATCTTAGAACCAAGGAAACCCAGCAGGGCAAGGCTGTTGAGGCGTCAGAGAGTGGAAGCGTGCCAGAGGGAAGGTTGGAGAGGGAGGTGAAATCATATCTGCAAGACCTTGAACACGGAGTTGAGGGGCTCTGTAGCCTGCTGGGGGTTCCCTGCAATCTGCAGGCAAAAGCGCTGGGGAGGAGAGGGGGAGAGGTGTGAGTCTAGCTGAGGCAGAGAGCATGTCTCTTTTCAAGAGTTGAGGGTGCTGCCAGAATCAAAGGAATATGCAGGTTTGAGAGCTGAGTTGGAAACTGAGGCCATGCATCATAAAGGGGCTCTGAATAGTCTGCAAAAAGCAGAGGAAGGTCTGAAATGAGGATTAAGAGCTAGAGGAAGAGACAGAGACTTGAAAATCCAGAGGAAAAGCTTTTTTTGTGCCAGCTCTCTCTCTGGCCCTTGAGCTCTCTTGCCCTTGCTCTCTCCGATATTACGTATTAGGAGATAATTCTCCATGGCCTCTCACATTTCTACATGTCCTTTGAACAAAGGCACTGGCTTTTCAAGGATATTTGTATGACCAACAGCCTTGGAAGACAGAGACAGTTTCTCCCTCCAGGGCCAAGGATAGGCAGGCTTTCTGCCCATTATAAAAAATCCAGGTTCCCCAAGCTCAGAACTCCTCTCCTATAATACCATGTACTTGGCCCTCTTCATGTCACCCTGTGAAAACTGGGGTTTGGGCACCAGTACAGGAAAATGATGGCATTCTGGCTACTTTTACTGCTCTGAGTAATCAAGTCCTTTGTCTCTGCCCCAGGAGCCTCATGTCTTCAGCCAGCATCTGTGAAACTGTGGCAGGCTCACTTGAAATCTTGCAAGAAAGGAAAACTCTCAGACCCTTCCCAGTTCCTCAGAAGGATGTTCTGTAGATTGCACGAGTCAACCCAGGTAAAGCACTTGGCATGGTTCCTGGCTCGTGGCAAAAGTGTTCAATAACTGTTCATTATTATTCTTGCAGCTAGTATACAAACCCACCTTCTCCACTATTGTCAGAGCTGTCGTCATCTTTTAGGATTATCTCCAGGTCGCTGGTGTTGTTGTCGTACACCACACAGTGCTTCACACACTCCAGGTCCACAGACTCGGGGATAAGATATGTATCCGCCCTCTAAAGAAACCACGAGAGAGGCCTGTTGGAAGGTGGGCTCAGCTGAGCAAATCTTCCCTATTCACCAGCATTGGTTGGAGCCGGAGGTAAGACTGCGCCCGCTTTCCTGACTTCACACACGGGCACAGAAGCACTGAATGCTGACAGAAAATCCGCTCAATCACAAGGCTCTTCCACACCCACATCCCCGGCTGTGAAAAGCTGACCACAGCTGACTGGACCAGAGACAAGTGACTAGCCAAAGAACAGCTGGTCTACTGACCTGCCAACTGAACTAACACATCCTCTCTGTGTGGGGGAGTGGTTGTCCATGGGGGCCAAAGCCAACATCCCCCATCAGAGGGCAGTAAGAAGAAGGCTTGAATAAGCAGAAGTCATAAGCAAGCAGAAATAATGAGGCCGACTGTCAACTCAAATGTAAGCTCTGTGAGAGCGGGAACATTTGTCCTTTTACAGCCACTGATGTATCCTGAGCTTCTAGAACACTGCCTAGCACATAGTAGGCCATAGGTGTGGCTAAAGGAAAGAATGGACAAACAGGTCCCTGAGGTCCTGCAGAGTAGAGAGGAAGCAGCCGAGTTGCCATGATGGTGGACCACAGGGCAGGAGCAGCGGGTGCCTTCTGCCAAGGAGGGAATGAACCCTCGCAGAGCCAGACCTGCCCGGGCTCCCACGGGGTGTTCCAGAGCTCGGGGAGGCCTGGCTGGG